ACGGTCGGTGAGGAAGGAGGAGAACCACCGCATCACAGTGCCTCCCACTCCCAACCCACCCAAACGCCGCAGCATGATGCTGTGGTCCACAGTATCAAAAGCCGCTGAGAGGTCCAAAAGAACTAGGACAGAGGAATAACCCCTGTCCCGGGCCCTCCAGAGATCATTCACCAACGTGACCAATGCCGTTTCCGTGCTGAATCCGGGCCTGAAGCCCGACTGGAGAGGGTCTAGATAGACTGTTTCCTCCAGGTGCCGAGGAAACTGCTGTGCAACCACACTCTCAACAACCTTCCCTTTCAGGCCATGTGGGAGGCCTTGGACGGCAGCGTGGGCTGCCCGGGACCCTGGGCGGTGGGTACACAGCCTGGCCCTTGTGCTCCCGGGTGCTCGCTGGAAGATGTTGGATGGTGGGGGCCGAGCGTGCAGGGGGCATGGCATAGTGGCAACGGCAATTGGCTGGGCTGCCTCACTGGGGTCCCACCATTTGCTTGCCTGCGGCCGCCACAACTGGAGTGCACAACTGGAATAGGGGACTGGAGGCTAAAACATATAAGGAACGGTTGCTGGAATTGGGGGTGTCTAGTTTAACGAAGAGAAGGACGAGGGGGGACATGATAGCAGCCTTCCAGCATCTCAGGGGCTGCCCCAAAGAAGAGGGAGTCAAGCTATTCTCCAAAGCCCCTGAAGGCAGGACAAGAAGCAACGGATGGAAACTGATCAAGGAGAGAAGCAACCTAGAACTAAGGAGAAACTTCCTGACAGAGAGAACAATTAACCAGTGGAACCACCTGCCTCCAGAAGCTGTGATTGCTCCAACACTGGAGGTATTTAAGAAGAGACTGGACAGCCATTTGTCCGAAATGGTATAGGGTTTCCTGCCTGAGCAGGGGGTTGGACTAGATGACCTCCAAGGTCCCTTCCAACTTTATCATCATCATCATCATCATCATCATCATCACCATCATCATCATCATCATCATCATCATCATCATTATTATTATTATTACAGCAGGTGGCCTTGCAATCACCTGGCGCATCCAGCAGGCCAGATCGCGTGCCTCCCCCCATGCCTCTGTCTCTGCCTGCTGCTTGGAGGGCCAGCCCGAAGGTTGCGGCACTCGGACCCACCTGTGCTGCACGGGCTGCACAGTCCCCGCTATGTCTTGGGCATGGAGGCTCCCTGCTCTTCCCGTTAGCTGAAGCTGCTGTGGGTGGGATGGAGGGCGGGAGGGAGGCTCATCCAAATCTGGGCCCATAATGCTCCGGATCCGGCCTGTAGGCCTTGTGTTTGACATGTCTGACCCAGACCGATTGCTAGGAGGTGAGCCAGACATACGTGAGTAAACCGGGATCAGCCTTTGAAGTCGCACCCGATCCCAATTCTTCTCAGGATTTCTTCTGCTTCTTTTCCAGGAAAGTGGGAACTCTGAGGTGATCCTGATGATCCTGGATCTGGCCAACCTCAACTCCGTGCGAGCTTTCGCAGAGACCTTCTTAAAATCGGAGCCCCGTCTGGACATCCTCATCAACAATGCTGGTGGGTGCAGAGCAGACCTCCGCCCGGGGTGTCTGGGCGAGGAAGTGGGAATATTGTGGGGGTGTCCAGGATTTCTGCTGATTGGTGCAGAGTCACCCAGCTGGCTTTAATGCCTAAGGCAGGACTAGAACTCACCATCTCCTGGTGATTGGCCCAAAGTCACCCAGCCGGCTTTCGTGGCTTAACCACTAGCCCAAATTGGATGCTTTACATGAAATCCTTGACTTATGACCTGATGAAATCTGCCAATTACGGTTGTACGTTGTGATGGTTGTAAAGCAGGTCACCCTGTGGTCAACATGATTTTACAACCTTTTCTAAGGTGGTTGTTAAGCGAACCGGTTGTTCACTATAAGTATTTTTGCTGAAAACTGCAAGTAAATGTCTTTTTTGGCAAAAAAAAATGTCCTAAATCACGGTCACTTGACATGTCGCGAAGAGCAGGCTGGTCGTCAAGCACCCAGAAGGCGATCATGTGGCCACAAGGGGGAGCCACTGGAGCTTTGGAACCAGTTGGTAATTACATCCATCGTAAGCTTGAATGATCACAAAGTTACCCCTTGTAAGGTGAAGACTACCTGTAATTATTTTTCTGGCAGGGGTCTTTAAGGCTGGTCAAACTGCTGATGGCTTTGATGAGGCCTTCCAGGTCAACCACCTGGCCCACTTCCTCCTGACCCACCTGCTCCTGGACCGGCTGAAGCGCTGTGCCCCGAGCCGGGTCATAATCTTGGCCTCGATTATGCATTGCATTGGGAAGATCGACTTTCGGACCATCCACAAGCCGGGAGAGGGGTTGTGGCAGGTCATAAATTCGTACAACAACAGCAAACTAGCCAACATTCTCCACACACGAGAGTTGGCCAACCGGCTGGAAGGAACCAACGTCACCTGCTACACGGTTGATCCAGGTGAGTGGAAGTCCGGCTCAAATAAGCCCCAGATGGAGACACCCCCCAGGTCCGTCTGGGGCTCTGCCAGGCATTTCTTTCCCACTGGGGCCCCCCTCAACCCCCTCTGCAGAGCCACTCCGAGAGTTTCCTCCATCGAGCTCAGCTGTAGAGGGAAGCGTCTCCCCCATTCTGGGTCCAGGAGCTAATAGAATCCAAGAAGCTTAAAGTGGGAAGGGCCCTTGGAGGTCTTCTAGTCTAACCTGTCTAAGGCAGGGATGAGGCTTTCCCCAGTCTATTGCTCCTCTTTGTCCTCCTCCTTCTGCCTTTTCTGTTCCTCCCATCCTTCCTTCTCCCTTTGCTCCTCCTCATCTCCATAAATGCCACTCATTTCTTCCACTGATGATGTAACCTAGTTGGGTGATGAAACTAAACTGCAAGAAAACAGCCAAACTCAGAGTGGACCAAAGAACCCCACACTTCAACCCTGAGCTACAAATATTCTATCAAAACATTATTATTTAATGTTGTTTATTTGAATGTATTAGCCACCAGACCGCAATGGATTTGTGTGTGCGATGCAGCACACGTGCACACGCAAACACAAACACAACCCATTGCCACTCAACACTAGCTCTTGCTCTTCTGAAAAATCTGTGTTGCCCAAATCTTCCGTGATTCCTTGGGGAAACAGGTGCTGTGTGAAGGGTGCATACGGGACCTCCGCCCCGCCAAAAAATCCAGGCAGCCTTCCATCCTCGCCCTGCTCTCACAGCCTTTGTTTTTAGGATTTGTTCAAACTGAAATGACTCGCTCCCATCCCCGTTGGGTAATTTGGCTGATTTGGCCCATCAAGCCATTCCTCCAAGACAGCGACACTGGCGCCCAGACCACCATCTTCTGCGCCACCGAGGAGGGCATCGAGAGGCTGAGTGGGCAGTATTTCGTGGACTGCCGGCCGAAGGTGCCCTGGCCACAAGCCCGCGATGACCAGATGGTTAAGATATTCTGGGAATTCAGCGAGATGCTATTGGGATTGACCACTCCACACGGGAAGGGACAGAGACAGAGTTTGGAGTAACTGCAAGTGGGCTTCTGATTGCAGGTAGCCCTCGACTCACAACCATCCATTTAGTGACCTTTCAAAGTTGGAAAAATCAACTTATCATCGGTGTCAAGGTTCCGACTGACAAACCCAACCAAGTAAACACTTTCGAGGCTTTCCGAACTCTTAATGTAAAACTTTATTGAGTACATCATTTTGGCACCCATGCAAGCAAAATCAGCTCTGGCAAAACCCCACCCAAGCCCCATATAGTAAAAGTATAGAATTCCCCTTCCTCCTTCTTGATCAGGTCACGTTGCCCAATTAGGAGGGAAAATATTGTTATGAGAAAGTGTCTCTGGGTCTGGCCAGACATCTGGTGAAACGGCCTTGGTTCTCACGGTCTGCTTTCTTGATCTTTTGAAGTCTGCATTCTGGTCTCCTATCCCTCCCCCCTAGTTTGTTGACAAGCTGGGAAGTAATAATAGTCAGACCAGCAAAAACATGCTTCAAACGTGACAGGCGGACCCTCCTAAAACCTGGAAGGAACCTGAAAAATAGTAAACACATATTAAAGCCATTCTTCTTTCTCTGCTTCCTACTTAAGGGGGGGAGGACTGGTTTCTGGAGATACTTTGCATGAAATCTATTTATTAAACATTCTGCTCTGATGTTGTGGGGTTTGATCCATCTCGCTTCTGCTATTGGATACCTTCTCCACTGTACTAAGTACTTTAGTCTCCCCTTATGGGTCCAGTTACATTCTTTGTCCTTCCTGGATGGTAAAAGCCCCCAGGATGGTGACCAGCATGTGAGTTCAAGCAATGATTAATATATCACAGTGATGGTGAACCTTTTAGAGACCGAATGCCCCAAAACTGGCCCCACCCCTGCTCTGCCCCCACCCTGTCGCCCACCCCACCTGCCCGCAGGGCCACTCACTGCCTCCAGGGCCCACCGCAGATCGCCCAGGCAGCCCAGCAGCACCATGGCGCCCACTCCCTCTGCCCGCGCCCTGCAGCATCAACTGTGCGGGATGAGGCGTGAGGGCAGAGTCTTGTCTACGCTGCCTGGCTGCCATGTCCTTGGCTGCGCTGCTCCGTGTGGGCCACGCTCGGGGGCGACTCCTCCAGGGGGGTTGCTGGTGAGGAGGGAGTCATGGGGGGAGGGGTGGCTGGGGCAACGGCACTGGTGCCCACAGAGAGGGCTCCGAGTGCCGTAGGTTTGCCACCACTGATATATCACTTCAGGAGGGGACATTTCTGGAAACCTTTAAGGAGGCCCTCATTCACCCCCCTCTTCAAAATACCATCGCTTGATCTTACCTGCTGGGACAACCTCTGTCTGATTTCCAATCTGCCCTTTTTTAGGGAAGTTTGGGGACAAGGTGGTGGGCTGAGAGCTCCAGAGGGTCCTGGATGAAACGGATTATCTGGACCCCTTTCAGTCAGGATTCAGGCCCAGTTATGGACAGAAAGGGCATTGGTGGTGCTTGTCAATGACCTCTGGCAAGAGCAGGATGGGGGTGGTGCATCCATCCCTGCTCTCCTTGACCTCTCAGCGGCTTTTGATGTCATTGAGTGTGGTATCCTTTGGGGCCAGCTACAGGGAGTGGGCTAGGGCTCAGTTGCAGAGTCTTGCGCTGGTTCAGCTCTTTTCTCCGTGGCTGGTCCCAATGGGTATTGATAGGGAGTGAGAGATCCAGCCCTCGGCCACTATCTTGTGGTGTACCGCAGGGCTCTGTACTCTCCCCCTCCTGTTTAGCATCTACATGAAGCCGCTGCGCGAGATTATCCATCACCTGTCAAGACTGCTAACATCGGATGTTCTTGCTTGCCATATGTGAAGAAGCAAACATTATTTAGCCTGCATATCACTTCTAGAGTTAAAGCAGACAATACTAGCCTAGTGGATGGGAAAATATGCTAGTTAACCATAACAATATTTCAGCACAGCACTGCCAAGGTCAGCTGTAACAGGAGGAGTAGGGGGGGACAATTCACACTTCACACTAATTAGAGAATGTGATTGATGACTGTAAAATGAAGGAGTGAGTTATAATAATAATAATAATAATAATAATAATAATAATAATAATAATAATAATAATAATAATAATAATAATAATAATAATAATAATAAAGTTGGAAGGGACCTTGGAGGTTATCTAGTCCAACCCCCTGCTCAGGCAGGAAACCCTATACCATTTCAGACAAATGGCTGTCCAGTCTCTTCTTAAAAACTTCCAGTGTTGGAGCATTCACCGCTTCTGGAGGCAGGTTGTTCCACTGGTTAATTGTCCTCACTGTCAGGAAGTTTCTCCTTAGTTCCAGGTTGCTTCTCTCCTTGATGAGTTTTCATCTGTTGCTTCTTGTCCTGCCTTCAGGGGCTTTGGAGAATAGCTTGACTCCCTCTTCTTTGGGGCAGCCCCTGAGATACTGGAAGACTGCTATCATGTCCCCCCTCGTCCTTCTCTTCCTTAAACTAGACATACCCAATTCCAGCAGCCGTTCCTTATATGCTTTAGCCTCCAGCCCCCTGATCATCTTTGTTGCTCTTCTCTGTACTCTTTCTAAAGTCTCAACATCTTTTTTACATCGTGGTGACCAAAACTGGATGCAGTATTCCAAGTGTGGCCTTACTAAAGCATTGTAAAGTGGTATTGATTGGGGGTGGGAGGATTCAGTTTTTGGCTTCACTATTGTACGTGCCGAAGCTATGTAGCAATAAAAGGATTCTTTAAGGTAAATAAGCCTCAAAGTTCTTTGAAAAGCTGCTTCTTTTCGGAACCATGACATAACCATGGCTTAAGGTATCGTCAGTATGTTGATGATAGTCAGGTCTATATATCCACTTTTGTGACCCGTGTGCTGCTTGGCTGCCCTCTAGCACTGCCTGGAGGCCGTGGGGGCCTGGATGGGGGACATTAGGCTTCAATTCAACCTCGGCAAGACTAAATCGGAATAGGACAGCTCACCACAGACAACTCGACATTGACAAAAATGGAAATAACATCGAAGAAACAGTGGTGGATAACATTTATCGTGTGGAATTATCCTGCGTGGAATTTTCCCACGGCAATATGGCCATATCAAGATGGCTGTGGTGAGTTTGCCATGGTGAGTTGTCCTAGATCCAGACCAAATGGCTTTGGGTGCATGCGGCCCCAAGAGCCAGGACTTTAACTTCTTTAGTTCAGGATGGGTGGCGGTCAAGCCTGGCTCAGCCTGGTCTCTTAGGAAAGAAACATGCTCAACTCCATTCATTGTGAAAAGACTTTATAAAGAGTACAGAGAAGAGCAACAAAGATGATTAGGGGACTGGAGACTAAAACATACAAGGAACGGTTGCTGGAATTGGGTCTGTCTAGTTTAATGAAGAGAAGGACGAGGAGGGACATGATAGCAGTCTTCCAGTATCTCAGGGGCTGCCCCAAAGAAGAGGGAGTCAAGCTATTCTCCAAAGCGCCTGAAGGCAGGACAAGAAGCAACAGATGGAAACTCATCAAGGAGAGAAGCAACCTGGAACTAAGGAGAAACTTCCTGACAGTGAGAACAATTAACCAGTGGAACCACCTGCCTCCAGAAGCAGTGAATGCTCCAACACTGGAAGTTTTTAAGAAGAGTCTGGATAGCCATTTGTCCGAAATGGTATAGGGTTTCCTGCCTGAGCAGGGGGTTGGACTAGATGACCTTCAAGGTCCCTTCCAACTTTACTATTACTATTACTATTATTATTATTATTATTATTATTATTATTATTATTATTATTATTATTATTATTATTATTATTAAAAGTAATAGCAAAGTACAGTAGCAAAGCTGTATCTAAAGCTTTCCACGCGAAGATTCCCTGATTAACTTTCCCTTCTCCATTCCACCCCTCTGTTATGTCCCCGTTGTCCAGTCACTTCAAAGAAGATGTTTTGGTAACTGTCCCTGCAACAGTTGGTTAGATGGGTAGGCGTTGCCCTCCATGCCCAGAGACAGCAGGAAGAGATCATTTTTTGTTTCCCCTGTGTCTTCCCACAGCTCCCCCCCCCCCGGCTTATGGCAGACTGGGATCTAGCGAAGCGTACGTGTGAGCAAAGAACGGCAGCTCTGACATTCTGCCCCCCCTTGAAAAATGAGTTATTCCTGAAGGGGAAGAGAAAAGAGATACAGAACATTAGTTAGGTTAGTCATATTCGAAGATGTTTTGGTAACTGTCTCTCAAGATTGAATCACTATGATGCCTGCTAGCTTCTATCACTAATCAACTTGCCATAGAATAGAATAGAGCTGGGACCTTGGAGGCCTTCTAGTCCAGCCCCCTGCTCAAGCAGGAGAACCTATACAATCTCAGACAAGTGACTGTCTAGCCTCTTCTTAAAAATCTCCAATGATGGAGCACCCACAATTTCTGGAGGCAAGCTGTTCCACTGGTTGATTGTCCTCACTGTCAGGAAGTTTCTCCTTAATTCCAGGTTGCTTCTCTCCTTGATTAGTTTCCAACCGTTGTTTCTTCTCCTGCCCTCTGGTGCTTTGGTCAATAACCTGACCCCCTCTTCTTTGTGGCAGCCCCCCAAATACTGGAACACTGCTATCATATCTCTCCTGTTTCTTCTTTTCTTTAGACTGGCCAAACCCAAGTCCCGCAGCCGTTCTTCATATGTTTTAGTCTCCAGGCCTTGGATCATCTTAGCTGCTCTTTTTCCATGGTCTCAACCTCTTAACGGGGGGAGGTGAAGGGGGGAAATGGAATGCCAAGAAGCCGTTCATGGACCGTGAGAGCCTGGAAACGGACTCTGGAATGCAGCCGGTGGTGACACGGACTCTCTCTAGCGGTCGAAGGAGGGGGCCCTACCCGTCTACATGTTGGTGGGTGCTTCTCTTGCCTTCTTAACTGCCTTGCGGGATCCTTTTGTTGGATTCCTTAGTCAGACTATTGACACCCTCCCTGCAACGGATGGGTAGAAGGAGAGGCGTTGCATTCCATTCCCAGGTCTGCGGACTCGGGATGTCTCAGGATGGCATGAAGATCACTTTTCCCCCTAGTCTTCCCACACCCCCCTCCCCCCTCCATGACTTATGGCAGACTGGCATCTAGTGAAGCATACAAGCATACATGCGAAGGATGGAAGTTCTGACAAGTCTTCAGCTGAACCCTGGCAAGACCGAGTTGGCTTTGGGTGCACAGAGCCCCAAGATCCAGGATTTTAGCATCTTCCGTTATGGATGGGGTAGCACTGCTCCAGACAGATCCAGGCCGTAACTTGGGGGTTCTGGACTTGAGGAGCAGGTGGCAGTCGTGATTAGGAGAGCCTTTGGACAGCTTCGTGTTGTGTGCCAGTTGCGGCTTTTCCTGGATCAGGACTCTCTACGCTCAGTCACTCAAGCCCTAGTCTTCTCACCGCTGGTGCTCTACATGGGGCTACCACAATGGGCTCTACATGGGGCTACCCTTGGCTTTGGGTGCACAGAGCCCCAAGATCCAGGATCTTAGCATCTTCTGTTATGGATGGGGTAGCACTGCTCCAGACAGATCCAGGCCGTAACTTGGGGGTTCCGGACTTGAGGAGCAAG